TCCCTAGGCCACGCCCCCTTGTCTCCCCAAGAGTATTATAAGCAATCATGCGCATCCCGTGTGCAGAATGATGCACTTGAAGCAACACCAAGTCACAGCACGCAACGCTTCACATTGAAAAAGAACATAGCGAAGGGATGGTATCTAAATCTATGCTTAGTAGGGCTGCACGATTTGGGAAAATGTCATATTGCCATTATTGAGCCAATATGCAATTGCGATTGCGACTCCGATATAATAAAATGGTTTCATGAGTCCAACTTGCTTGGTTCTAAAGTAAAATGCACACACAGATTAATGTTTATTTCTCAACTCAAACTAAAAACAACAACAACAATAAATGATTGATAACACCTATAATGATCATAATAACCATCAACCAAACCAACATTACAGTGATTCCATCAATTGAAAGCCATCAACTTTTAAAAAATTATTACGCTTAAAAAAAATATATAACAGCTTTTAAATTAAGTGAACTTCAAACAATCCCCACATAAACCCATAATAAAAAACATATTTACTCTGTGCCCTTCCTGTCTTAACAGGTACAGAAATTGAATAAAGTTATCAAACAGTCTGCGCTGCCTGAATCATAATTAATTATATAATAATCCTTATTAAAGCTACAAAAGTTCTTTACTCAAGATCAGTGAGTAATTTTTCTAATTTCCCTTTGTTCTTTTAACTTACTGAAAGAACGCTTTATTCGCTGCTGGCCCTTTAAGAGCACCCGTTGCCGAGACGCGGATCTCACACGCGCTCATAGCACAACCCTTAATCCATAGACTTTTCTTATGTTATGAAGATACTAGACAAAACCACATTTTGGCATAATTGTGTGTGCTATTGTTCGTTCAAGCTCGAAAGAGAACTGTTTATTCTGGGCTGGCACACGGTCAGTGCATGCGCATTATGCGAGTCTCATCTATTAGGGCACTCACAGGCAGCTTTTCACTTCTTGTCGTGCAAAATGCGAAAGGATTTGAACCAATAAGAGGGGGATCTTGTAACACTAGTCAAAGGATGACAAAAAAGAAGAGATGCTGCGCTAATAGCCCTACTTGTTTATTTCATATAAAATCGCGGCATTTTGCGTTATATAATTGCATAGGTTTGAGATCGCTATTACGACTGCGATATAATTAAATCGTGCAGCACTAATGCTTAGTGTATTCTAAAGGCAATAAACTCCACTCCAGCAAGATAGTCATTTTATGCAAATCATAGACCTTTATGCCTTATCTACAAATAAAGTATAATATGGGAACATTGATCTTGAAGAGAGTGTCGTCGTGTTACTGTCGCAACCGAACGCGACGCGCTAATGCTGATGCATGGAGAATGACTGAGGCGAGATGACTTTCCGTTAACTTTACTTAGAGACTAAAATATTAATTTTACCACACATTAAGCTATTGAATGACTTTAGAAGTCTTGGAATATAGTGTGAAAACTTGATTGTGCTTTACAGTTTTTTATGCCTTAGTGGGGCTTAACAAAATAACACAATATGCAGAATGTCGGACGTCACTTATAGGCTAAACTGTTTTTATAGATAAAACTATTTACATTCGGCAGTCATGAAAACAAATCTCAGATAACGTTGAACTAGGTAACAATGTGTAATTTTGCGCCGGGTTCTCCTTTAACTTACATTAGCTAGCTAACTACGAAACGAGCTAACCAGATAACATTAACAAATTGACAAGCACTTACTGGGCAGAATAATGGCTCTTCAAATGACGGACGAAATTGGAGGTTGTCATCTGACTGTCCGCGATCTTAACGTTGCATGTCTTGCAAAGCGCTGTTCTTTTGCCATCTTGTTGTAAGAAATTCTTGAATCCAAAAGCGACGACGACCCCTCGTTATCCCCTCCGGCTGACATGTTGATGTGATCTGATGTAAAGTGGGCGTGGTGTGCGCGAAGGTATGGAGAGGCATGACTGATGATCCGATCCAGTCATGACAGCGCTATTCTCAGCCTGCTCCAGCTGGATCAACTTTATTTTTTTAACATAATTTATATATTTTATATTCAAACTGAAAACATGATGTGATTAACACTCAAGTCATATTATTACATGCAAGTGTGTTGATTTATGGACCAAAATTTTCAGATCAAGTTTATGGACCAAGTTAATTTAATTAATAAACTAATTATATAAAACTATTAATGCACTACAATTAAACTGGTTATATGCCTTTACTTATAAAAAATAAAAAAACTTATTTAAAAAAATACCAGGCTTAAGCATTTATTTTTTATGCAGGCCATACACACAGGAGTGAAATGGTTAATACCTCCCCTACAAACACACAACACATACAGACAGGCAAAGACAGCAGGCTCAGATTGAGCAAGACCACATTCAAACAAACATATCTGACTTTCTGTGGGTCCTAGCTAATGAGTGTCAATTAGAAAGTTGACCGGCTCGAGGAGTACAATATACATACCGATTTTTGTAACTGTAGATATAACTAACAACCCCACTTTTGTCAAAAGGTGGCGCTACTGAGCCCTCACCACGCCCGTTTCTGAAACTTTGCACGTGTCTACTGGCTAATAAATGTGATGTGTCTGTTGAGTTTCATGCAATTTCAAGCATGCTTAAGGCTCAAAAGCATCCTAAAAGCATCCTAAAAGAAGGGTAAAGTTGATGCGTCGCCACGCGCAACAGTTTCAAAGATATCAAGAATCCATTCACAGGTCTACATCTGCCGTATGTTTACATTATACATATGAAGTTTGAAGCAAATCGGGTAAAAATAAAAGGGTGATATCTAAGCATTTTGAAAGTGACACACTTCCTGCTGCCAGTTGGTGGCGCTATAACTTTGACTCACAATAGTCACATCCATGTGATCGTCCTCTTACAGCGAACACACTGCTGAAGTTTCATCAAGATCAGTTAATGTATGCTGAAGTTATAACACACTTCCTGTTTCACGTTTCTCGCCATGATTTCGTTTCCTCGCCACGGACAAACCGTTCGAGATATCAAAAATCCCCTCGCAAACTTTCATCCTCAATGTCTTGACTTCACGCTGACCGAGTTTCGTCGAATGTGGATCAAAGCTCTAGGAGGAGTATTTGACATTCCATTGCGAGCGTTTTACAAACAAACCTCAATAGCCAAATTCCTGTGGGCTGGGGTAAAAAGTAAGAGCGCGAGGTATAGATGAAACGATGAGATCAACGTGTGTACCGAGTTTCATATTATTACATACAAGCGTGTTTGAGTTATGGACCAAGTGTTCGGGACCCCGTTCCAGGGGGCGCTGACGAGCTGCCCTGCCACGCCCGGGTACCATCTTCAGCCCGGCTCTGATGGCCGCGGGTTCTGACCCGTGTGCAAAGTTTCAAGAGTTTTCGAGCACGTTAAGGGCCCAAAAGTGCCCAAAAGTAGCAAAATAATAATAATACTAAAGAAGAATATATAATCCCTAAGGAAACAATAGGGCCTTTCGCCCTTTCAGGGCTTGGGCCTAATTAAAAATACCAGGCTTGAGAAATGTATTTTCTTTATGCAGGTCATACACACAGCAGTGAAATGGTTAAGCCCCCTCCCCCTGCACACACACACACACACACACACACACACAGACAGCCAGCCAGCAGCCAGCCAGCCAGCCAAAGACACAGAGACACAGAGACATAGGCTCAGAGTGGCCATATTCAAACAAAAATATCTGACTTTCTGTGGGTCCTAGCTAATAAGTGTCAATTAGAAAGTTGTCCGGCTCGAGGAGTACAATATACATACCAATTTTTGTAACTCTAGTTAAAACTAACCACCCCACTTTTGTCAAAAGGTGGCGCTACTGAGCCCTCACCACGCCCGTTTCTGCAACTTTGCACATGTCTACTGGCTAATAAATGTTATGTGTCTGTC